AAAAAAAAAAAATATATATATATATATATATATATATGTATATTTTTAAATAGGGTCTTGCTATGTTGCCCAAGCTGGTCTAAAACCCCTGGCCTCAAGCAACCCTCCCACCTCAGCCTCTCAAAGTGCTGGGATTATAGATATGAGCCACAGTGCCTGGCCTAAAGTACACTTCTAACAGAAAAGAACTTCATTTTGACTAAGAGTTGATGAGTACCTAATTTTCTAATCATAATTTGACACATCTGGTGATTAAAAGAAATTTTCACAGGCTAGAGCAAATACACTTCAAACCTTGTTTCTCCCCTACTATTTTGGGGCTGGGCATGAAGGACACAAGCACACTATGGTCATACGATGGTATGGTCTCCAGCCCTGCACTGCTGTGTCACTTCACCCAGTAAGTCAGCACAGAGAGTGGGAGAAGGATTTCAGAAAGTCATCTGCACCAGGAGAGCTAGCAGTAACTGAACTATACATGCAGGTAACTGCAAACCGTGTAAATATATCCCACTAAGTAAACTAAATGTCTCTCCAGCTTCACATTCCCGTATCAGGATCCCAGAAAGTTCATGGTCATGATAGTCACTTGACCAAAGAGAAAGACAGTGTTCTTAATTGATCACGGTTAAAATACCACTTTGCAAATTTTGCAAAATTGTATCATCTTGTGGACATAAAGCTGGAAACCCGCCTGTGTCCTTGGAATGGGCCTCCTAAGTGAGAGGTCTTGAAGGTTTTGCTTCATGAGGTTTGTGGTCATTCTGCTCCTATGTAATGGCCTTTCTTTTCTTTTTTCTGTTTTTGAGACAGAGTCTCGCTCTGTCACCCAGGCTGGAGTGTAGAGATTCCATCTCTGCTCACTGTAAGCTCCGCCTCCCAAGTTCAAGTGATTCTCCTGCCTCAGCCTCCCGAGTAGCTGAGATTACAGGTGCAGGCCACCACGCCCGGCTATTTCTTATATTTTTAGTAGAGAAGGGGTTTCACCACGTTGGTAAGGCTGCTCACAAACTCCTGACCTCATGATCTGCCCACCCTGGCCTCCCAAAGTGTTGGGATTACAGGCGTGAGCCACCACCCCCAGCCTTGTAATGGCCTTTCTATGACTCCTGCGCAAAGAAAGGAAGACAATCAGCAGTATCATATTTAAATGTGAAGGACAAGGATTGAGCATATGGACTGCTGGAACATGTATTCCTTTTGTAGGGTGCCATTACAAAGTACAACAAACTAACTGGCTCATTTGTTGCCTCATAGCTCTGGAGGTTAGGAGTCTGAAATCAAGGTGTTGGCAGAGCAATGTTCTCTCCAAGGGCTCTAAGGAAGAATGCTTCCTTGCCTCTTCCACGTTCTGGTGGTTCCTAACAATCCCTGGCATTGTCTTATAGATGCAATTCTTTGTCTCCAATCTCTGCCTCCATTATTACATGGTCCTTTCTGCGTGAGTCTGTGTCCCTTCTCCTCTTCCCATAAGGACACCAGTAATACTGGATTGAGGGCCCACTCTAATCCAGTATGGCCTCATCTTAACTAATTACATCTACAAAAACCCTATTTTCAAACAAGGTGAATTTCTGAGATATTGGAGTTAGGGATTCAGCATGTCTTTTTTGAGTGACACAATTCTTCTCATAACAGAAAGGAAACAATGCTGTCTTCACTACGCATTGGTCATCTGTATGATCCTAAGCAGCTCAAATTTGTCAATCAATAAACATCAGTTGGCACCAACTGTGTGCTGGGGATACTGAGAAGAGTATCATCAGGCAGTCACTCTTAGACAACTCCCAGCCTGGGAGAGAGATACAAAAACTAGCAATGCAATGCAGAGTGGTGGTTGCTAAACTGGAGGCATGTGCACACCCGTGAGACAGGTCCACTAAGGACACAGCCTGTGAGCATGAGGGTTTGAGGGGCTCTGCAAAACGTGGCTTATCTGAACAGTCTTTAAGAATGACTAGATGTTCACCAAATAGACAATGGAGGGCAGAAAATTCCCGATGTGAGTAATAATTCATGAAAAGTCTTGGGTTAATGGGAAATGATGCATTTGAGGAGATTTTTGTTATTTTGTGTGGTTGGAAGCATTTGACGTGGCAGATTAGGCCAGAAAACTAGGGGGACTGAGGTGATGAAGAGCTTATAAATCATGATAAGAAGTCTGGCCTTTAATAAGGGGGATGGGTACCAAAAGGAAAATAACTTGACTGGGTTTGCATTTCAAAAAGATTGCTGTGGCATCAGTGTGAAAGGTAGATGAGACGGAAAAGGAGAGCAAAATGGTCTCTCTCTCTGACATCCTCATGGGGCTAGGCAGGGTCACACAGGCTGTCTTCTTTAACCTCTGCAAACACCCTTTCAGATACACTTGAAAGCTTTGGGAACTGGGGCAAGGAGCAGGGGAAAATACCCACAGCTCATAACCAGCCAGCTAATGGCTATTCAGTCCATTGGTTCAAGGCACGGCTGTAGCCCATGGAAGAGGCCATCGGAGCCTGACCTAAGACAAGAAGCAGCGTGATAAGGAGGACAGGATGGACACAAAGAATGCTCAGACTAAATTCCCATCCACGGAGGTATGGAGGGCCTTGTTTCTTCATCTGTCATGCGGGGACAATAGGCCTCACTAATATTGACACAGCCTCAGGTTGAGTAATGACCTATGACAGAACACCTTGAGGAGATAAAACGCACAGGGTCACCTGAGTATTGCCATGGAGGAGAGCTTTGTTTTCGTCACCTTGGCCTCTTTCTTTGGAGTCTTTCCAGTGTAATAAAGCTAAAATCATTCCAGGGATCAGCCAGAGAAAAGAAAAATGTCAGGGAGGGAGAATGAGGGCAGAAATTGATCTAGTGCCTCAGACACAGGAGTGTGTGTGGAGAGTGTGAGTATGTGAGTGTGTGTGTATGTACGTGTGTGTCTGTCTGTGTATCCACATGTGAGCCAGGCGTAGAGCCAAGGCTTCTGTTTTCTCTTGGATTTTCTTGTGTTTTTATTTTTCCCTGCCTTTCTTTCTCTTTCTTTTCTTGCATTTTCCTTGCCTTCATTTTCTTTTCCCTTCTTCTCTTTTCCTTTCTTGGATCTATTCCTTTCTGGGGTATCTCTAAAAGACCCAGAATCCCCTGCAAAAAAACAAACACAATTATTCCATGGAATCTCTTATTTGGCTAACATATTGCTCTTCGAATTTATTCCATGACCTTAAAAATAACTATAATGCTTGCTTTAACTTCGGCAGCCTTGTCTCTGCCACTTTGATGTCATTTAGCTTATACAAGGCAAGAGGGCAGAGGTGGTGTTTTGTTTTGTTGTTAAATTCTTCCCTACTTCTATTTCCTAGCTCTTTCTACATTTGGAGTTTAAGTGTAGTGCTGGTTGCTTTTGAGCTCCTTTTTAAATCTAACGAAGTATAAATATTAACCTGCTTAATATTTACACATTTACAGGCTCACTCAACTTATGTTTGGTACTTTATTTTTTGTTTGTTTTGTTTTTCTGGAGACAGAGTCTTGCTCTGCCACCCACACTTGAGTGCAGTGGTGTGATCAAAGCTCACTGCAACCTCAACTTCCTGGGCTCAAGTGATCCTCCCACCTCAGCCTCATAAGTGGCTGGGACTACAGGTGTGCCCACTCATGCTTGGCTATTTTTTTAATTTTTTTTGTAGAGTGAAGACTTGCTATGTTGCTCAGGCTGTCAGTCTTGAACTCCTAGCCTCAAGCGATCCTCCTACCTCAGCCTCCCAAAGTGCTGGGATTACAGGTGTAATCCCATACCCCATGTTTGCTATTTTAAAGTAAAACCAAATGTGACTTGGAGGACGAAAGAAATTGTTAGCATAAATTTATCTTTATGAGATCATTTGTATTAATTGTGAGTATTTTCACAGACACCAGAGCATGAAGAGTCAGACTCCCCAGGCCTTATAAGGCAAAGAAGCCCTCATGGAGTGTAGTGGGTCTTCCCCTGCCCTACCTCCAGAAATGTCATGTAGGTGAATTGCTTAACACATATACTATATTAATTTTATATTCTCATAGGCATATCAATGCATGCATCAGATTAACTCCATGAAAAGGTTTATTAAATTGTGATAACAAATTAACTTCACAAATCCTCAATCTTTTATATTTGTTGCTTATCGATACATTTACTCGCACGTGTTAAGAATTGAGGAAGTTTATGTTCTATCCTACCTTTTCATTCATACATGCCTCCATCAGTCATTCTTCATTTTACAAATATGTATTAAGAAACTACTATTGGCTGGGTGCAGTGGATCACGCCTGTAATCCCAGGACTTTGGGAGGCCAAGGCAGGCAGATGATCTGAGGTGAGGAGTTCAAGACCAGCCTGGCCAACATGGAAAAACTCTGTCCCTAGTAAAAATACAAAAATTAGCCAAGTGAGGTGGTGCATGCCTGTGATCCCAGCTACTCAGGAGGCTGAGGCAGGAGAATCACTTGAACCCAGTAGGTGGAGGTTGAGGTGAGTTGGGATCATGCCATTGCACTCCAGCCTGGACAACAAGAGTGAAACTCCTTCTGAAAGAAAGAGAGAGAGAGAGAGTAGGAAAGAAAGAAGAAAGAAAAATATTTACTGTACTAAGTTATGAGGATAAAACCATACTACAAAATGGTATAAAATGTGAATTTAGTGAAAAATTCACTGAAACGTTTATGCCCTATGTAAATGTGTTAGGTATGACTGTATTTTCTCTTTTATGTGCAAAGATGAGCCCTATAGCCTGCCATCAGCAGGACTTGGACCTTAGCTACTCTCTGAGCATGGCATGGGGTACCCCAAACCATCCTTTCCATACCCCAGGCCATTTGTGATCCTAGATATGTGCAATGGTTGTATTCTCAGACTCCATTCACTCATACACTCCAGATCTGAGTCTCCACATACAGGGGTGCTGATGATTTTCAACTAATTTAAAAGTTATGGATGTCTGCCTTTATCCTACAAAAAGTACCTAAACTACCTTTCCTTTAACCACAACGGTCCAATTAGACAACTAAAACCGTTGATTTTCCAAATATAGTGCCTGCATTTAGCAATGAGAGTAAATCCCCCTTAGTTGCTACAAAGCCAGTCAAGGTTGGGAGAAGCCTGCCCAAGGAAGTGGAGCTGATGCTGGGACAGAGGGATGAGCTCTGGCTGCAAGTTCATTGCAGCAGGCAGACTCTCTGCATGCGAAAGACTAAGCCCAGACAACAGGGAAGCCAGCATGCTGATGCATGAATAAAATACAGGGAAAGGGAGTCTAGGAACAGACAATATTCAGAAACACACAGGCAGGCAGCAGGGCTAAGCAAAATCTGTCAGCAGACACAGAGACCAGGCTAAGCTGCTGGGGCAGGAGGCAGGCATCAGATGAGTGCAAAAGAAGCTCCCCTCAGAGAGACAGAAGAGGGCAGTGATAGAGTTGACTCCAGAGGCAGACAGACTTGGGTGTGAATCCCGGTCCAGCTACTATGGAGGAGCCTGCTGGCAGATTTCACACGATTCCTCTTCTTCCTGAGCACACATCCCTTGCTATTAGTTGTGGCCACTAACTAAATGTGACTGCATTTTAGCCAATGCATGGTAAGTGGACGCAATCAGGACTGGTCCTCCACTCAATTCTCCATTCTGCTGCACCATTGGGTTAACCTTGGTGAGGTAAAACCTAAGATAGATGGGGCTTGGCCTCAGAATAATCACTACCTGGAGGAAAGCCCTGGCCACTCAGAAACACCTGCTCTGGATTTCAGGTGAGCAATAAATGCATTTCTATTGTGTTGAAACTGACATTTAGGGGGTTACTGTTACTGTAGCTAGTATTACCTTAACTC